TGTCCATCCTCATCCTGGCCAACGTATGCCACTATGCCGCACACGGCGTCCCCCGATGGTTGAATGTGGGATTACCCTTTGCCCTTAATTCCAAGTCGGTTCTTCCCCGTATCCAATCTTTGTCGCCCGGGTCCGGCTCGGTGCTATTGTGTTCAGGAGCGCTGGCCACAACCATCCTGTCGTGTTGTTGCCAGCTGGTCGCCATCGAGCCGCGCTAACCTCGTCCCTCCAGTTCGCGGGCGAGATTTTTTGCGAACCCCTCGATGGTGGACTGGGCCTTGCGGCGGATGACTGGCTGGCCAAGCTCACCAAGCTTGCCCATGAATGTGGTAATCGCTTCTCTATATTAACCTCTGTTTCACCAGACGGCCTCTCGGTGAGCTGAAGCGCCATCGTGGTCCTGACGCCGCCGCCGACTCGCCGGTCGCTGGCCTCCACGAGAAAACGGGCGCGTCCCGAATCGGGGTGCTGGTCTTCCACCGTGACCGTCCCCGTGAGAGTCATGCTCATCGGACCCACGCGAGCCTTCAGCGAGCCGCGGTAGCATCCGTCGCCTTCCTCCGCGATGTCGACCACTCCCGGTACCCACAGGGCCGCCGTGGGAACGTCCATCAGTGCGGACCATGTCTCGTGCAACCCGGCTGGCACGACGCAGGTGTTCTGCAGCCTCACGTCGCAGTCGCCCCACGATCCGGGCTCGACCGCAGCGCCTGCGTCAGCGCACGGCGTACGAACACGCCTGCCATTTCCCGCTTGTACTCGGCCGAGCCGCGGAAATCGTCCAGTGGGTCGACGGCGCCGGGCACGGTGTCCGAGGCGGCACGGATGGCATCGTCGCTGAGTTCCTGTCCGAGCAGCAGGTCCTCCGCCGCGTTGGCGCGAACGGGTGTAACCCCCGCGGCCCCCAGCACGATGCGGGCCCCCCCGCAGGTGTTGTCGGCGCGCCGTTTAACCACCGCAGCCACCGACACCGTGGCGTAGTCGTCGGCGGTGCGCGGCAGGAACTTGAGGTACGCACCACATGTGTCCTCAGAAGGTATCGGCACGTTAACCGCGGTCAGGACCTCACCGGGCCGGACGTCAGTCTCGTAGTAGTCTACGGACAGCTCCTCAACAGGGCAGGTGCGGATGCCGGCGCTCGACGTTAGCTCCACTGTCGCCTCGAGGGCGATGAGCGCGGGCGGCGGGTCCTGGTTGGGGTCGCCGTTTACCAGCGCACCACCCAGCGTTGCCATGGAACGGATGCGGCGCGTGGCGACGAGGCTCACGGTCTCTGCAAACATAGGGATGCGTTCGCGGACAAGTGGGCTGTCCTCCACCTGCTTGAGAGTACAGAGGGCGCCGATTCGCACCACGCCGGCATTCTCGTCGATGGAGCCGAGTTCATCGGTCCTTGCCAGCGCACGGAGCCCGATAACGTGGCCGGCTGGGCCAACCGCTGCTTCATTTGAAGAACCAAGGCGGTGCCGCCGGCAATTAGACGCGCGTCCTCTCCGTGCCGCTCCAGCAATTCCAAGGCATCGTGCAGCGACGCCGGGTTATGGAATTCGAAGTCTATCAATGGCGATGGATTAGAGGGCCCCGCCGCTGTTTCGCGCGGCGGCGGCCACAGAATTGATGATCCCGTAGTAGCCGGTGCAACGGCAGAGATTACCCATCATCCAGCTTCTGATGTCGTCTTCCGTGGGGTGGGGATTGGCATCCAGCCGCGCGTCCGGCTTCCTGCTGCGACGATCTGCCCCGGGTGCGACAATCGCCGCACTGGGAAACCCGTCGTGGTCGATGACACGCGCCTGCTGCTGTAACCGGGTGGAGTGTTGCCGTTTTCAGCGATGCGATCGCCCTCGATTGGTTCGTGACTGTTCCGAACACCTCGACTGACAGCAACGAAGCTCGATGCAGGAGCAAACAGCTAACAGCTCGCGTCGACACCGCAGCACGGTGCAGGCTCCGCAGACGCCAACGCCGCATCCCTCCTTGGAACCGGTCAGCCCCAGATCGTTGCGTAGGAAATCCAGCAACAGGCGGCTGGACGGGGCATTCGCCTCGCGCTCCTCGCCGTTTACTTTCAGCTTTGCCATCGCAGACACAATACCGTTATGTCTGTACAGCGTCAACCGAGATTTGGGGGCGTTGCTATACTGTTGGACAGCTTTGCGGCCAATGGCCAAATCGCATTGGCCGCCGTCTAGGAGAGGTAGTTATGCAGGACCGTAATGGGAGCGCCCCAACCATGCACATCGGAAGCACACTGTGCTGGTGGTGACCATGGAAGTTGACCCCGAGGACGAGGCCGAATTCAACAAGTGTAAGGGTACTGCACACCTCCTGATGCGCATGGAGATCCCCGGATACGTTAGTGCGAGGCGGTTCAAGCTGGAAGAGGGTGAAGGAGCGCTCACGTACCTGTGCATCTGGGAGCTGGAAGACGGCAGCCCGCTGCAGAGCCAGATGTACAAGGAGCAGCAGGCCGACCCCACCGCGCTCTACCAGCGCGTCAACAAGACCATCAAGGCCCGCACCCGTGGCTTATACCGCCAGATATACCCCGAGACCGGAGCCTACGAAGACCGATCCGGCTTCCACCCCCGCCACCAGGAAGTCTCGGCGTAGCGTATCTGTTCAGAGGGCAAACTCCACCAAATGCATCCGAATGTCTGGTTCGATGCGTATCAGCCCTGTGATAAGCTTGTCCCTTGTTATGCATGGTAGGTGGATGCCTACTCCAAGGACCAGAATAGGTAATTTATTACCAAGTCGCGGAGTCTTTGCACAGTAAATGTTTGGTCGGCCATCGGGCACATTCTCCATCCTGGGAGACTTTCTGACCAACTGGTTCACCCTCGTGGTGATCATGGTTGGCTTGGGCGTGGCGGCCGGGCTGCTCATTTTTGTCTTCGTCTTCCCGGGAAAGCCCCAGATTGGCGTCATCAACATTCCGTACACCGTGATAACTGATAGTTCGACCAGCCGGATCACTGAACATTTGGAATACGCTCGCCGCGACGATTCCATCAAGGCAGTGGTCATCAAGCTCACCAGCCCCGGAGGAGGGGCCGCTGCCAGTGAGAGGCTCTACCACGAGACAGAGAGACTCGCTCAGGAGAAACCCGTGGTGCTGGTTATGAACGGTCTGGTGGCCAGCGGCGGCTACATGATGGCCATGGGTGCCACCCACTCTTATGCTCAGACCTCATCGCTGGTGGGAAACGTGGGTGTGGTCTCCTTTCAGGACCCCCTGATCCCTCCCCTTGACAGCGAGGGACTGATGATCACGGGGCCTTACAAGCGTTCCGGGTTTTCCAGGACGGAGTGGTTTGAGACCCTTGAGGACCTCAAGGAGGCCTTTGCCCAGATCGTTGTGAGTGAACGTGGGGACAGGCTCCGCATTTCCAGGGACGAGCTCACCGAAGGCAGGATTTATTCGGGAATGGAGGCTGTGAGGCTGGGCCTGGCCGACGAGCTGGGAGGCGACAACGACGCCTTCGAAAAAGCATCGGATCTGGCGGGCATTTCCAGCTACGGTCTCGTTGACGTGAACCTGGAGGTCCTGAAGAAGAACGTCGAGGAACTCGACAGTGTTTTCTCATCGTCTGTTGTGCAAAGTGGCTCTGTAAATGCCTTGGCCCTTGGCGATCGCGAATATAGCGAGGACGGCCAGACCCCGGACAGTCCCGCAGCCACGACCCACGACAGCCTCGAACGGCTGGAGGCTTTGCGCAACCTGATTCTTTACGGCGGTCTGGGCGACGAACAGGATGACCCTCTTCCTGGTTTTCCCCTCGAATTGAATCATCCCACCGTCTACTACCTGTTCTTGGGCAATGCTCGTTAGGCTCGCGATAGTAGTCCTGCTGCCCCTGTGTGGCGTGGTCGCCTTTGTGGCGGCCTATTTCCTTTTCTACCAGGGGAGCGGCTATGATGCGCCTCCATCGGTGAACCTTCCCTTCGGTCAGATCGATACCCCCTCGGTGCAGCCTCGCACATCAGAAAGCCTGCCGACCGGGCAGTTGCGCCAGGGTCTCTTGGTGGTGGACGCCCAACACGCCAATACGTTTAGGGAAAGGGAACTGGTCAGCTTCACCTCTAGGGTGGCCGCCCGCGGCTTCGACGTGGAATTCCTGGGCAATTTCAACATCAGGCTCGACCCGACGCAGGCCCAGCTCCGCTACCAGCAGCTGGCCGATAAGCTGCGGCGGGCCGATAGCTTTGCCGTCATCCTGCCGAGGGCAGCGTACAGCGAGAGCGAGGCAGCCCTTGTGGAGGAGTTTGTTCAGAAGGGCGGCAAGTTGCTGTTGATCTCCGACCCGGGTCGCACCCAGGTGATTAATGCGCTGGCCAAGCGGTTCGGAGTGGACTTCCAGACCGACTATCTCTACAACTCCTCGGAAAATGACGCCAATTTCAAACGTATCTTTATCCGTGATTTCCAGCCTGACCAGCTAACCGCCGGCCTGGAGTCCATCACCCTGGACTATGCCGGTACCGTGCAGTCAGCAGGCGGCGGACTGGCCTTCGCCAGCGCCGGCACCCGGTCATCGGTGCTTGACAGGGTCGAAGACCTTTCGCCCATGGTATGGGGGGACAGTCGCAACGTCCTGGCAATTGCCGATTTCACCTTCCTGGTTCCCAGCAACGATTCCCTGCTGGACAATGGCAGGCTGGTTTCCAACATCGCCGACTTCGTAACCGACAGCCAGCGGCAGTATCTCCTGTCCGACTTTCCCTATTTTTACCGCTCCCGCCAGGATGAGGGCGTGGATGTCCTGATGGGCAATTCCGGCCTGTTGAACGTAAGTCAGCAGGTTAAGTCGAGTCTAGGCGGCCGGCTCGTGTCTGCGGAAATTGCTGCAACTGAGGACGTGAGCAAAGACACTGTGTTCCTCGGCCTGTATGAAGACGCGCCGCAGGTCGGTCAGTACCTTCAGGTTGCTGGCGTACGTGTTGATGACACTCTCGGCACTGCCTTCGCCCCGGAACTGGAGCTGCAGAACACCGCAATCACGTTGCTGGACCAAAGCCAGGAACGGGATATGCTGATCATCCTCGCGGACACCCCGGCGAACCTCGCTGCTGCCGCGGCCCGGCTGTTCACCGGAGAATTCAGAGCAGACTTGGTGAGTGATTTTGTGGCAATACGCAAGTTCGAGGAAATGGGCCAGTAAGCTATGAAGTTACGATCGGGATTCCACCTGTTCCTGCCCATCATCTTGCTCTTGCTGGCTGTGATGGCTGCCTGTGCCCAGGACGAAGATGGTGCGTCCGCTCCCAGGCGCCGCTTGCTCCTGCACCCACCGAGGCCCCCAGGCCGCTGACGCAAAATGACAGGGCGGCTATCAGCGAGTTCGAGACCCAACTCGAGTCCATTGACGCCGAGTGGGAGAAGTTCTACAGCGAAATGGACAGTTGGCGGGCTGGCCTGGCCGCCTGTCACCCCAGCGCTGCCCAGGAATCCCTGGCCGGCTTGGTGGGCGCCTACGCTGCTGTCGCCGAGAGAGCCCGCGATCTGCCAAGGACGACCACCACCAAGGCATTGGCCGATCTCGTGATCACCGCCGCAGAGGCGGAGGAAACCGCCTTCCGGCGCCTGCGGGATCGCTGGCAGGCTGGGA